AAAAAAAAAAAAAAAAAAAAAAAAAAAAAAAAACAAAGATAACACTAACTGTACAGATTTCTTTGGAAGAAACGAACCTCTTTGGATACTTTCAGATACAACTTATCTGTCCGTCAACTGTTCGATACCACCGATAAAATTTCAAAGCAGCAGTATTTTAAAATTAGAAATTTGTCAGTGTTTGATGGAATGTTAAGGGTCATTAAGAACTGAGACCAGACATGCAGTATGATAAGACTGGACTAGATAGAGCTAGACAAATGAAATAAAGCGGCTATACACTTAAAGCACTAAACGAAGGCTTTGACTGGCCAAAACGACTAACCTTCTATTGAGCAACCATTGATAAGACCCACCTCCTTTTCTGCCTCTTCCCGTTTCTCCACCTCCTCCCTCTCAGCCTTAGATTCCCCAACTCCTAAGATTCAAACCCAACTTCTTCAAAAATGAGATAACAATTTTTTTTCTTTGCTTTATCATATGCTTTATGAGCTGTTATCAGTGACTTTTTTTTTTTGAAAACAATTATGTCTTAGAAACTTTTATTGGCATAAATTTATTCATGCGGTTTTTGCTCAGCACAACTGCTGTTTCTATTTTGAGTCAAAATTTTAAATTTTATTTGTAATTTTATTACAAATTTCATGCAAGAAAAAAGGAATTGCTTTTTTCCTTTAGAAATATATTTAAATATATTGAGAAGCAACAAAAAAAATCGACGACAGCAAAAAGGACAAAACAGTGCAATATTAGATCTATGAATGCCAAAAAAAAGAAAGCAAAAAAGAAGTATGCACTTATAAAATAAGCAGCACTAATTTCCAAAAAAAAGTTTAAAGACTTTTATAAATTTGGTCTGTAACTTAACTTTTGCTAAGAATAAACTCTTTTTTTTTTCGAAAAAAGAAAAATTTACTTTACAAGAAACTTATTTCTTCGTTTTCTTTCTTTCTTTTTGATCAAAATGTCAAAAAATTTTAACAGATTTCAAATAAAACCTTTTGCAGCTAAAAATACAGATCAAATTTTTCACCAGCATTGACTTCGTCGACGCCTACTGTTCTGCAAGACTGTAATCATTTAGAAGATAGCATTCAAAAAAATAAAGGCATACTTAACTTTCAAAAATAAAAATTTGACTTTTAAATTCAATTCGAAAAAAACTGTGTTTTTAGAATTCTCGCCTATCCTCGTCTTTTCGCCTTAACAATTCTTGCCACTGTTTTTGCCTATCACATTTAGCAAAGCTTTAAACCACTTCTTTCTTTTTTTTCACACTCAAATTGCCCATTACATATTATTGCAAATCAAAAAAAAGAGCAGAAAACACTAAGTTTAAATTAACTTTCATATGGTATTCACAGAAAAAATAAGGTAGAATTTTAGAATATTTGTTAAAATAAAAGTACAACAAAATAACACATTTCACTGTATATAAAATACTTTTTTTTCCTTTATTTGCTTCTCATTCTTTCCCCCCCCCCCTTCTCCCTCCCCATCCGTTCGCTCGGCAACTACAAAATTGGTTCATTCCTCAAAAATACTGCCGCTGCTGCAGAAGGAAAGTAAAGGAAGTACTTTGATCATCGTTACGTTGCAGCGTTTCCGCAAATAAAGTTATTTTCCAACTATTTTTTCCCCCTATTTAGTAATTTTTTAAGTCTTAATACTAAACAGGAACAATATATGGATAAGACTTTGATTCTTAATTTTCTTTTCTTTTGTTACTACTAAGTTAATAGGATTTCACAAAGATTTTAACACTGTGGTTATACAACATTGAAATCAACGCAACAACAACAACGAAAAACCGGTTTAGCACTGGAAAAACTTGACACCTTCTTTTATGACATTTATTATGAAACGTTAACAATATCATTGATTAAAAAAAGACTATTTGAATAATACAAGAAAAAAGAGAAGAACTTCTGTTTTAAGGAAATTCAAATCAATTTGAATACTATTTTGTCAATTACA